TATCCCGCCACGTCTGCATGCACTTCGTAAACCGCGGCTCTTCTGTGTGTCCTGCGTCCCGGGAGCTGCGGCGCCCTTGCCTTTGGGGGCTGCCCGGACGGCATTTCTCGGGGAGAGAAGCGGGGAGGAGGAGGTCGAGGAGGAGGAGGAGGAGGAGGACTTCCGCGCAGCCCTCTCCCTCTAGCCCGCCTCAAGTTGGGGGACCGGCTTTGAGGACAAGGACAAAGGAGACGCTCCTTCGGGTGTATTTATTAAGTTGGATGGAGGCCCAGCTGGGGGAAGCCTGCCTGGAGGGGTCGGCCGAGCCTCTCCTGGGTGGTGGTCGTTTTAGTTTATTTCCTTTGTCTAAAAAAGCCTTCTCGAGTTTAAAGGACTTCTTCCCTTCTCTCCAGGGAATCGGTGCGAGGCTCCAGTCGTTTCTCTCCTGGGCCCGTGATAGGGGTGTGTGTGTGTGTGTGCGTGCGCGTGTGTGTGTTTGTGTGTAAAAGCCTGCCCCACATCTCGGAAGAATGCGGCCCTAGATTGCGCGATGGCCCTGGTTCCCAGGGGTTGGCTTTGCTCGCCCTCTTCTTCCCTCTCTCCTGTCACACACACACACACACACACACACACACACACACACACACAGAGAGAGAGAGAGAGAGAGAGAGAGAGAGAGAGAGAGAGAGAGAGAGAGAGATTTTCCAGAGTCCCCCTGCGGAATTCTGAATTTCGGCTTCAGAAAGGGGATGCCCCACCTTTGGAAACGAGGCGCCTCCCTTCAAAGGTCTGCCCTCGAGGCCACAAGGCCAAGGCATTATCTGGAACCCTCCCCTTGTGAACCTTGCATCCAATACGGCCGAATGCTGCCCCTTCCCAGATGACATTGAAAAGGGCGCTTCTGCACCTGCACTATTATTGCGGAATGCAATCCACAGATGCAAGTTAGTTGTCCCTTTATTCCAGGAGTCGCCCTTGAAAATTTGCCCCTGAAGTTCCTAAATTTGCGCCTGATTCTAAGAGGTGTTCTCTCATCCATATACTGTACGGTCAACATCCCCTATGATGGTCCTTGCTTTCAGTGGCTCTGGGCTTGCTTTGGACGGGAAGTTTTCTAAAGAACGGTTCCACTTTACCAAAAGCTAGACCAGTCCCTTATTTCAGAACTCCAGGATCACTGAAAAAGGCCCCCCTCCGTCCGTTAGGCAACTATACGACCCGTGCCCCTTATATTGCGCGAGTAGCTCTGGTAGCCGAAGAGTTAGTTGTCCCTTAACTGGGGAAGAGAAGACGCAGCGACGTCGTCCTGAGCTTTTTGGGAGAAAGGCGGGATACAAATATGAATAATTTAAAAGAAATAAGGATGGGAGGCCGGAGTGTCCCAAAGGGTGGTCTCCGGTGGGGGTGATCCCCGGGATCGGAGGAAAGGCTGCTTGTGGCGGCAACGGGCATGCCCCTGTGTGCGTGTGAGAGAGAAAAAAGGGAGAGAGATTTTATTTTGGAAGGCTGTCATTACGGATTATCAAAGCGCGTTTTATTTTGGCGTAGAAGGGGATCAACGCACTGGAAAGGATGCTCTCCACTCCGGACGATTTCTCTTATTATTCCTCCATACTCACCAGTGTTTCCTTGGATCTAACAACCTCGGGACAACTTTCCCGTTGATTCCCTCGCTGACTGTATATAGAGACCCCCCTCCCCACAAAATGTGTTGATTGACTTTGCCGCCGGTTGGTCTTTGTTTTGTTCGGGGGGGGGTGTTTTTCCCCCTCCAGCTCCCGATGCCTCCACTCCCGCTTGGTCCTCGTCCTCGCCCCCCCTCCCCGCCCCGTCTTCGTCTTCTCTCCCCTTCCCACCTCGACCATCGTATCTCTTGTGGACAGGGCTGCATTCATTCAGTTTTGTACGGATCTGACTGACATTTCCAGTTGTATTTTTTTAAATTATTATAATTATACTTAATATTATTGCACGTGCAACCAAAAAAAAAGCGAGCGCGATGACGTTTCCGTGGATCCAGTGGCAAATAAAACGGGTGGATCGCCCCTTGAAAACCAAGTGCGGGTGTTGAGGGGCTGGGCCGGAGCCGCGGGTCGGGGCGCCTGGAGGGGGGGCGCTTCTTCGGCGGGGGGCCAAAGGGGACCCGAACGGGCGGCGGCCGCGGCGGGGCTCTTCCCGGGGCGGGTCTTGCCGAGCTGCCAAGCGCTCCCGCCTGCTGGGGCGCGCGCGTCTCGGGGTTCCGCGCCTCCCTCCGCCCCCCTCTTTGCCCGGGGACATCGAGCGACGGAGCTGGAAACTGGCTGCCCTTCTGGGCCAACGCTGCCCCTGCGCTGTCCGAGAGGCAGGGCAACAGCTGACCTGCCACGAATGGAGGAAAAGAGAGTCCTTTGGACTTTTTCTTTCTGTTTCATTATTTTTTTTTTAAACTTGCCGGGAGTCGGTGGGGGGGAAGCTGCTCACTCCCACGCGGCTGCCTCTCCTACTCGATGCATCTGTCTCTGTGTATTAAACGAAAATACATTTAGGGTGGATTTCTGGCCTCCTCCTCGCCTCCGCCCATAGGGCTGAGCCATTCCACCCACCCGGCCCCGATCCGGATCCGAGCGACTGCCCCGTCCTAAGGGGAGCTGGAAAAGCGCTCCCAACAACAACAACAACGGAGCCCCAGCAGGCCACCTTTGGGTATTCCTGGGACCCTTATGTATTACGTTTGTCCAAACCCAAACCCGATCCGAGTTTGGATTCGGATCGGCAATTGCCCGCGCCAGGGAATCATCCTGCTTGCTCCGAAAGACAACACAAACCAATTCCTTTGTAGCGCTGAGGTGGAGGATGATTTAAGTCTGACCAGGAAGTGTCCTGGGCCAGAAGGAAAGGCAAAGCAGAGGGAGAACTCGAGAGGACAGGCAAGGGGGGGCTGATCCGTGCGTGTCTGCGTGGGAGAACGGGAAATAAGGGATCGGTAGCAAGGAAACCCACGAACAACCAAGCAAGGTTCAAAGAAAAACAGGAATTCGAGAAAGTGGGTGTGTATGTGTGTGGAATTTAGAAGCCCAAAGGGAAGTCCTGAAAGATGTGTGCAGAGTCTGAAGGACTGAGAGAGTGAGAGACTCCGAAAGACCGACCTCGGGGTGAAGGACCTGCAAGGGTTGGAAGGAAGGAAATCTATTAGGGGGTGATGGGCGACGAGAGGATTGAGGGGGCCACTGAAGCCGAGGACCCCTGGAGATTAAAAAACAAAACACCGAAACCTATTCCGGCACAGCCGGCCAAGCCGACCCGGTGGGGCGGGTAAGTCCTTAGTCGAGGAGACCAACTGGCCGAGGAAACTTCCCAGGGGCGTTGCACGAACAGTTTCCGTGGCCGCCCCGGTGTGTGGTAAAACGCAGGGGCTTCGGGCATCCTGTCCCACTCCCAGGTCCTGTAACGTTGGGGATGGTCGAGGAGAGGCGAGAAAGCCCGGGGTGCTCCAGGAGCCACCCCATCCCACCCCCACTCTAGATCTGGTTAGGCGGACCGCCGAGGTGACTCCGGCAGGGGGTGGCGCACATCCAGACTCTTCTTAACTGCAGGAGGAAAGAACTTTACAAAAAAAGCAAATTATTTCTATCTTCACATGCCTTTCTGTTCTCCTTTTCCATCTTTTTTTTTTTTTAAAAAACCAACCTTCACAAAATAATAGCGACAATCATTTGTGCGACCAGGGAATGCTGTCAAAGGCGAGCTTCTTATTGATTTTAATCACTCTGGGGTTCACGCAGCCTTATTATTCCCCTCTATATTACTTTCACGTGGTTGCTCTTTCTTTCTTTCTTTTGAAGGGGAAAACGGGCATTCTTTGGAATTACATTAGCAGCGTTCCCACCCACCTCGCCGGGCAATTTTTAAAGTAACTTGTTTTTACCAAATATACACTTTCCTGGCAAACATCCAAAAACAAGTCGTCCTTGCTCGTTTTAATTTTTTTTCAGTGTTTCCTTCATTGGTGGTGCCTCTTACGTTCAATAAAATAAAAATAAAAATAACGACGGAACTTGAATAATACAGCCAACGGTGGCAAACGGCCAAAGCAGTTGGCCGCAGGGTTACGGACCTCTACTCGGCAGTAAACTCAACCGAATTATTTCCCTATAAATTCCGCTGCCATCCCGAAGGTATAAGTAAAACGACTTTAGGATTTCGCTGTGTGGTAATAAAACCACTATTATTACAAAAAGAACACCAGCGGTTAGGATTTCTAACAACGACGACGACAAAATCCATCAGCTTTTAGATTACCTGTGATGAATCATCGGCTATTTTTAAGCCAAAGCCAGTGCCAAGAATAATTCCCACTGAACTCTGCATTTTTTTTTTCTTGAGTAGATACAGCATGTGCAGAATTGCAGCATCTTTTCCCCCAATAAAAGGTTGATTCTTATTCCTGGCCTCTGTGAATGCACACAAATGGGCTGTTCTGCACCTGCACTGCACCTCTTGGAAGTTTCTAGAGCTTAAAGACACATGGTTAGTGGGACGTTTCCGTGGAGCGCATGCTCCATCCATCATGGATTCCCCTCAGTTCCTGTAAAAATCCAGCTGCTATCAAAGAGGTATTTCAAAGTACAATGTGACAGACAGAGGGGAGGATGGGCGGGATGTGTGGATTCACAGAAGGACCACTAGAAGAACCATGGTTACAGGTAGGTAACCTCTCTTTCTTCTTCCTGGCCTCTGTTGAATGCACCCAAAGGGGTGAACGGCAAGCTCACTTACCGGATGGTGGGACATCAGGGTAGAAAGGAAACCAAAACAGCTCTGCCAAAACCAACATCATTCCGTGCCCTGATATCCAGACAGTAATGTCTGACAAAAGTCAATAGAGTAGACCATGTCCCTGCACGGCAGATGTGAGGGAGTTCAACCCCACACTGGAAGGCAGTAGATGTTAACAGCGTTCTGGTAGAATGGGCCTTTAAATGTTCAGGAGGTGTTTTGCCCATTAACTCATACGCCAATGAGATAGTTTGGACAATCCATCTAGAAATACAGTAGATTGAAGCCAAGCTGGAGCTCCTTTATGTTGTAAGCCGCCTAGAGTGGTCGAAATGACTAGATAGGCGGGGTATAAATACAATAAATAAATAAATAAATAGATAAATAAATAAATAAATAAATAAATAAATAAATAAATAAATAAATAAATAAATAAATAAATAAGAACATAGGAAAAGTCTCTGTGATTTTCTGAATAACTTGGTCCTGTCAGTGTTTTCGATTTCTTAGAGGTCGTCTTGTCTTTTTTTCTTCTTAGAAGAGTCTAGAGACCGAGCCGAGGCCTTCCACCACAGGGATGTGGATTTCAAAGTGGACTTTGACTTCTCCTCATGATGGGGAGAAGGAGTGGTGGGGCTGGAAGCAGGCATGGGTGGATTTTGCCGATCTGGTCGAGGGGCTGGAGATTGTGCAGACTCCATAGCGACCAGAGGTGGATTCAGAGGTTTTTCCCCCAGAGGTAAGACCTCAATCTTTGTAAGCGCAGTTTAACCGCTGGTTTAGTTAGCCTTTTACATACTGAGCAGGAGTGTGTAGGATGTTGTTCTCCAAGGCAGGAAAGGCAACAGTCGTGGCCATTGGTTAGGGGGATTTTATTTGCGCAGAAAACGCCCCGCTTGAAAGGGGGGGCATAAAAGAGCAAGGGGGGAAACAGGAGGGGAAAAATGGTCGGGGGGGGGAGCTCAGCAAACTGCAGGTAGAGAAAAAAATGGAATAAACTCACAGGGGAAACATCCAATAAAGAAAAATGATTGAAAGGCATTTAAAGTAATAAATGATGATTCAATAGGAAGTATTAATTCAATAGATCGCTCTAGTTTCCCAAACAGGTCTAGCCAACAGGGGGGGGGGAAGGAACTGAGGGGATCAGTGATGGGCGAAGCATGCGCTCCACCACCGGGGAATGCCCCACTAATCATGCGTCTTTAAGCTCTAGAAACTTTGGGGAGGTTCAGCGCAGGCGCAGAACAACCCGATTGTGTGGATTCACAGAGGATCACTAGACGAACCATGGTTACAGGTAGGTCACCTCTCTTTCCCCCCTTGAATCCCATAAATAAAGGCAGTAAGGTTCTCCTTTCCGCTTTCTTTCAGACAGGAAGAGAAAGAAAATTTTGGAAACTAAGGGGCACAGGGAATCGGTCTGTTCGGGCTCTCAAAAGCAGGGTATTCTTTGCTAGCGCCGCCTTCGCTCCGGCTGCCCTGCTTCGGCGGCCCGAAGTGTCCTCGCTGGCTGGGTGGTTTCCCCGCCCAGCGTTTCTAGTGGGGGGACGGTGTTGCTCGCCCGGCAGTCGGTCCCGCGTTCTGCCCGCACTGACCGTCCTCTGCCCGGCCGAGCAGCTGGTTTCTGGCCAAGGGGATTCTTCATTTGGCGGAAAGTTTTGACAGCCCGCGTGGTGTGAGCGTGGAGGGGGAAGACGGTGCTCGTCCTGATAATATCGGGACGGACACACACACACACACACACACACACACACACACACACACACACACACACACACCCTCTGAGATCAAGGCTACCACGGGGCTGATGGAAGAAGAAGAAGGGAAAGCCTCCCTTCTCCCCTTGGGGTCTCCAACGAGTTGGCTATTTTCCCCAGTGAATGCCAGGGACTAGGAGCTTCTCCTCCTCGCCTAGGCGATCAAGTGGGCTGTAGCAGGGCGTAGCGGTCTGTGCTGGTAAAAGCCACATCTGATCCCCTTGGCCACCCTTGCTTGTACAGCAACACCTCCTTCCAGCTGTCCCCGGCGCTCTCCTCCTTTGAGTTTGCTTGCCTGGAAGTTTGCTAGGGCCCCCCTACGCTCAAATCCGCTGAAAGGCATCAGAGGTCGAGAGTTCCTAAGTCCTGAACGGCTCGAAGACCCTGATCCGCAACACAGCGAAGCCCATTCATTCATTACTCGCTGGAAAAGCCTGAGCTTCTGAGCATGGCCCTTGGCCCCAGGAGTAAAGCCGGTATCTCAAGACGGAACAGAGCAATTGGGGGGGGGATTTTCACAGTAGTCAGAGACAGATTGATTATCCTCCGCGCTTACTTCCAAGGAAGCCTGCAAAGGACCCGATCTTGCCATTTCTCCTCAATTGTGTGGTATTTGGGTTTGGGTAAAAGGAGGATCCATAAAATGTAAACGGATCTTCATGATTTCATATGATTTTTGTGATGGGCCCTCACCAAACCATCCTAAAATCATAGAACTCATCCATGCCCATAGACTAGGCAATCAATCTGCACAGATCTTCATGATTTCATATAATTTTTAGATGGAAAAATATGGATCCCAGGCATGGATCCTCATTAATCTACATATTTTATGTAGGATCATCCCCAAATGACTGTCCAATTATATTTCCCATCTGTGCTCACAGACTACATCACAGAAATCATGGGTCCTTTGTTGTATGGCTTCACAGTGGTGCAAAAACATGGATCTGATGTGTGGATCCTCATAGATCCACATGAATTTTACATGGGATCCTCTTGAAACCACTGTCAAATCATATATGTAATTTGCACTCGCAGACTACAGCACAGCAATTAGGAGCCGCAGCTCATGGCTTTGCAGTGGTGTTAAAACATGGATCTGAGACATGGATTCTGATGGATCAGCATGATTTTAACATGTGATCTCCTCCAAATCACTGTCAAGTTGTAGATCCCATAAGTTGCCACTGACTACAACAGATAATTCACAGTTCTTTTGTAGTATGGCTTTCCAGTGGGGCACAAACATGCATCCGAAATGTGGATTTGAACTGTATTGCTGACTGCACAATGATGCCATGGTGTTAAAAAATGGATCTGATGCACAAATGCTCGTGGATCTACATCATTTCTACATGAAGTTCTCCAAAGACCTCTTTCAAACCATTGATCTCCTGCACGTCCAAATACTGAACCACAGAAATCACAGTTCACTTAAGTGCAGATGATTGCCAGGTTCAAAAACATTGATCAGATGCATGGATCTACATGATCATTACGTGAGATTCTCCCAAAACCACTTTCAAGTCATAGATCCTATCTGTGTCTAAAGACTCAACTGCATAAAGCACATATTTTTCAATGCAGAACATTTATTTGTTTAAAGTAGTTTTACTCTGTTTATCTCCTTCAAAAGGTCCCAAGGTGACTTGCCTCATTAAAAACAAACAATATCAAAAGCTGTAAAGAGTAAGTTATTTGAATATTTTAAAAGAATTAAACATATAAAAATATTAGATAAAATATATTAGTTATTAAATAAATTCCATGGCACAGTACAGATCCAAGACACCAATGTACATGGATCCACATTATTTTAGGTGGAAATCTCTGTAAAACACCATCAAATTCTACATAGTACTGGTGCCCAAGGTATAAACCATAAAAATCATGGATCTCTCACTACATAACACTACCATGGGACAACAAAAACATAGTTACAGATCCAAGTTACAGATTCCCATGAATTCACAGATTGAACCATAGAAATTATGGATTCTCTCAGTCTCCAATTATAGATGCCTTCTGTGTCCAAATAATAAATCATAACAACCACAGATGGCACAAACAGATGCACATGAGGGTGTGCAGACTATTTGACATGGGATTTCCCTCCAACAGAATCACTACAGATCATAGTTCTTGTCTGTGCCCATAGACTGAACAATAAAAATCACTTGCTGGACAACTTTGCCGTGGCACAAAAGCATAGTCTGAATTGCAGATTCTCTGCCATTTTTCCATGGGATCCTCTTGGAACCATGCTCAAATCTAAAATCCCACAATGCTCACAGGGTGCAACACAAATGTCATAGATCCTTTGCTCCATGGGGTTGAAATTTAATGGTGCAAAGAGATGGACATGAAGTGTGTCTCCTAAAAGAGCCACATTTAAAGGATTGGTTCCCAAACATCAGTTCCAAGATCCCACCTATACCCAAAGATGAACCATAAAAAACACAGGCGTTGGTACAAATGGGACCTGTGACTGGAAAGTGGTTTGGGGTGGACCCGACAGAAAAGTCATGTGGTTCCATGAGGATCCATGACTCCGATGCATGTCTGTGAACCACTGACAAGTTGTGGGCACAGATGCAACCTATAATTTGACAGTGGTTTGGGGAGGATCTCACATAAAAATCATGTAGATTCAAGAGGATCTGTGCCTTGGATTGGTCTTTTTGCACCACAGCAAAGCCATGCACTGATGGATCCGTTATTTCTGTGGTATAGTCTGTAGACATTGATGAGACCTATGATTTGACAGTCATTTGGGGATGATCCTATGTAAAAAAATCACGCGGATCCATCAGGATCCACCCCCTCAGATCTTGCTTTTGCACCACTGCCAAGCCATGCCCGGAAGGATACCTGAATTCTCTATTGTAGTCTGTAGGCATCGATGCAATCCATGATTTAATGGTAATTTGATGAAGATCCCACATAAAAATCACGTGAAAACATGAGGATCTGGGTTTTTTCTTCCTCATAGAAGCTCCTTTTACTTACCTCCCCGGCAGTGTTAGTACTAGTACTGATTATCAGTTAATAGTACTGATAATTCTCATTGTTTTGCGACCTGGCAGTACTTGTGTGCCTCCGACTCAACAGGTCCAGCAGCAGGCCACGGAAGCAGAGTCACCTGCTGCTTGTTGCACAGAACCCTTGCAAAGAAGTGGTAACCTTTAACGTAGAGTTTCGGAAACCTACCTGCACACACACCTCACTTTACTTCTCTTTCTCTCTCCCCCCCCCATTCATACAGGTGGACTCGGTGGCCAGGGGCGCCTCCCTTCAGCTGCGGAAATTATACCAGCTACGGCTCTACCTGGATGCGCGGAGTCTCATGACAGTTACACATGCACTAGTAACATCTCATATAGACTACTGCAATGCGCTCTACGTGGGGCTGCTCTAGAAGATGGTCCAGTGACTGCAACTGATCCAGAATCAAGCTGCATGGCTCGTGAGTGGTGGGGCCGCTAGGGAACACATCAAGCCGATTTTGATTAAATTACATTGGTTACCAGTTGCTGCCCGGGCCCAATTCAAAGTGCTTGGTTTGACATATAAAGCCCTAAACAGCTTGGGCCCTGGATACCTGAAGGACCGCCTCCTTCCATATGAGCCTACCCAGCAGTTAAGATCTAGCCAGGGGGTCCTTTTGAAAGAGCCGCCCCTCAAGGAGGTAAGAGGGATGGCTTGTAGACAAAGGGCCTTTTTGGCAGCTGCCCCCATACTATGGAATGCCCTCCCGACTGAGATTTGTCTGGCGAACATTTTGGTGCCAAGTCAAAACCTTCCTATTCCAGAATGCTTTTAATTGAAATAATATCAACTGTGGGTCCTGAT